TCGGGGGGGGGGGGGGGGGGGGGGGTGTCAAGGATTGAACAAATATGAATCTACATTATCTGAGGATGGTTCCATTTAAATATGACCAATCATGGCTTTGCTGTTCTTGAGTAGAAGATTTTAAAAGATTTTACCTATGTATTCCTATGTAAAACTTTGATCGCCCATTTTTTTTGGCCCCACCCGACCCCCGGGGGTCATGATTTGAACAAACTTGAATCTACACTACCTGAGCATGCTTCCATATAAATATGACCAATCATGGCTTTGCTGTTTTTGAGAAGAAGATTTTTAAAGATTTTTCCTATATATTCTCATGTAAAACTTTGATCGCCCATTGTGGCCCCATCCGACCCCCGGGGGTCATGATTTGAACAAACTTGAATCTACACTATCTGAGGATGCTACCATATAAATATGACCAATCATGGCTTTGCTGTTCTTGAGAAGAAGATTTTCAAGGATTATTCCTATATATTCCTATGTAAAACTTTGATCGCCCATTGTGGCCCCACCCAACCCCCGGGTGTCATGATTTGAACAAACTTGAATCTACACTACCTGAGGATGCTACCATATAAATATGACCAATCATGGCTTTGCTATTCTTGAGAAGAAGATTTTTAGAGATTTTTCCTTTATATTCCTATGTAAAACTTTGATCGCCCATTGTGGCCCCACCTGACCCCCGGGGGTCATGATTTGAACAAACTTGAATCTACACTACCTGAGGATGCTTCCATGTAAATATGACCAATCATGGCTTTGCTGTTCTTGAGAAGAAGATTTTTAAAGATTTTTCCTATATATTCCCATGTAAAACTTTGATCACCCATTGTGGCCCCACCCGACCCCCGGGGGTCATGATTTGAACAAACTTGAATCTACACTATCTGAAGATGCTACCATATAAATATGACCAATCATGGCTTTGCTGTTCTTGAGAAGAAGATTTTTAAAGATTTTTCCTATATATTCCTATGTAAAACTTTGATCGCCCATTGTGGCCGCACCTGCCAGCCGGGGGTCATGATTTGAACAAACTTGAATCTACACTATCTGAGGATGCTACCATATAAATATGACCAATCATGGCTTTGCTGTTCTTGAGAAGAAGATTTTTAAAGATTTTTCCTATATATTCCTATGTAAAATTTTGATCGCCCATTGTGGCCCCACCCAACCCCCAGGGGTCATGATTTGAACAAACTTGAATCTACACTACCTGAGGATGCTTCCACATAAGTTTCATATTTTCAAGCACAGTGGTTCTTGAGAAGAAGATTTTTTAATGATGCCATTAATTTTTCACGAATTCTTAATTATCTCCCCTTGGAAGAAGGCGTGGCCCTTCATTTGAACAAACTTGAATCCCCTTTACCCAACGATACTTTGTGGCAAGTTTGGTTGAAATTGGCCCAGTGGTTCTTGAGAAGAAGATGAAAATGTGAAAAGTTTACAACAACAACGACAACGATGACGACAACAACGACAACAACGACGACAGACAACGGACAAATTTTGATCAGAAAAGCTCACTTGAGCCTTTGGCTCAGGTGAGCTAAAACCTGTTCCCGGTAGTTTTAATGATGATATTCTGTGCTCTGTGACCATTTCAATGATGGTAGTATCCTTTAATATTTTGTAAAAATACAAATTACTTTAAATGCAAGCTACATTGTCATTTTACAAAAAATCCTACAACTAATTACATGCGCAAATCTAGATTGGGGGGGGGGGGGGGGTCCGAACCTTCCTGGAATTTGCAGAGTTACTAAAAGTATATACTGAAGCAAAATAAAATGACATTGGACACCCCCCCCCCTTGAAAACGTGGACCCCACAACCACGAAATAGGTGTTTTTCTCGTTTTGGAAATGGATTTTAGGGGGGGTTTTTTGTTGTTTTTTTTTTGCATGTCAAGAAATTTTTGGGTTGGAAATTTTTTTCACTGGGGTGGAACCCCCCCCCCTCCCCTCCCCCCAGAAAAAATTCCTGGATCTGCACCTGAATTAGTATTACATTGTATTTGTTTTCTATATTTAAAGGTTCGATTTGTGATAAATTATTATACATTCCAGTAGATATTAAAAAAAAATAAAATATATTAAAAATGCGTGATAGAAAAGGTGGAAATAAAATGATACAATTTTATTTCTCAAAGAAAACAAAAAGAAAAGATTAAGTGATAGTTTTCATCATTGCACATAATATCACATAATCCAAATATGGATTAGAGACCTCAACTCATTTAAACATTATATAATCAATACCATCAACTCGTAGTAGTACTTTCAGTACTTTGATTAATTAAAATAATGAAAAAAGAAATAGGGGATATATCAGGGATTCAGCAGTCCTACCCCTTTTTCTTTCACAGGATGAAATTACACCATTCAGTTGACCAAATGGTAATTGAATGCCTACTGAATGGTCAATGAAAGGTCACTGAAAAGATCCTTTCCTGTGACTTTTCCATGATCTTTCAGTTACCATTCAGTCGACTGAATGGCAGATACATGTACATTTCAGTCGCCTTTCAGTTATCTTTCAGACGTTTCAGTTTTATCTTTTTATTAAATAATCGGCTTATTTTTTAACTAAAAATTTTATTTCACGTTTTCTTATTATAATGGTATTAAATTAATCTATTTATCTATTTTCAAATTAAAAAAATGAAAAAAAAAAAAAGTGAATGTAAGATAAAAAAGAAAATTCTTGCAGAAAGCCAGGGTCGAACTGTGTCCTCCCGCTTGGTAGTGTATGACCTAGCTTCTCCATTAGCCCACGGCATCTTGATGAATATCATGTGGTTTTAAAATCAATAAATTTGTAGAAATCGAATTGGAACACCCAGTTCACTTGTTGTATAGAGGAGGTGGGCATTGTGTATATATCTTGTATGCATTTTGTATATTCTATGTTAATTGCATGGAATTTTGGGGCAGGCTAATTAATTACACATCTCTTATTGGGATGACAATTATCGGCGACAGGCACCTGTTTTTTTTTTTTTTTCTCAAAGAATTAAAACTTCACCTCGGAGATCATTTTAAATTCTCTATACATGTAGATCTAGAAAATTATATAAAATAATTCTAAAACAATATCTTTAAAAAAGCAAAAATATCAAGCGATTTTAACAATTAAGAAACAGAATTAATTTTACAATATTAAGTTTCTTCCACTAAAGGCAGAAATAATAAATTCTGTTATGTCTATTTCCATGAAAACTAACTGTGTTAGATGGACATAAAAATAATGAAAAACTACTGAAAAAAATAAGAAAACTTTTTTTCTTGTTTACATTAAGAGAATTTTGACCGATATCCGATTTTTTTTTTTCAGATTGACTGATTGTTTATTCATATAACAACTTATTAAATTAAATATTTATCGCTGGTTTAGAGATTTTACAGAAAGACAAAAATAAGACAATTCTATGACTATGTCTGTTAATTAAATTCTGATACAAATATTTCATCATTATTTTTCATTATTTGAATAATTTTCTTTTTCTAAATCAATTTTCATGCAACTCCTTAGAAATTCGAAAATCATTTTGAATTTTATGAGTCCACGGTTGAATTGTAATCTTTAATATTAATAAAATTATTTTTAGACATAAACTTTATAGTTAATAATCACAATTTAACATTTTAGTAAACAACTGAAAGACAATGGAACATCTAAACATTACCACTTCTACGTATCTGAATTTTATAACAATGAGAAACAAAAAAAACATTTAAAGATGTGAATAATTTTATTAAAAATTCGATTGGAATAATTACTGATAAACATAATGAAAAGCTGATGAAAAGGTCACTGAATTACAACTGAAAGGTTACTGAAAGATGACGGAAAAGTCATTAAAAGGTGTCTGAAAGACCACAGAAAGGTCACTGAAACGCGACTGAAAAACGACGGAAAGGTCACTGAAAGATAACTGAAATGTGTCCCCTGAATGAGGACTGAAAGGTACCTGAATTGTACCCGCCATTCATGACTGAATAGCCACTGAAAAGTCAATGAAAGTCGCCTTTCAGTTTTAACTGAAAGGTCTTCTTTCTTCTGGTGTTTTTAGTTTTTAATCTTGATATCTTAAAAATCCTCGAATATCTTAAAGTTTAATCTCCAAGACAAAAGGTTAGAATGTATTACGTTTTAATTCTCTTTGTTCCGTTAACGTTTTCTTCCATTTTTTTCATCAAAGTAATTTTTTTTGCATTTCGATCATTGTACTTTTGTGATTCACACACAAACAAAAAAGTACATGTATGTCTAACATTTTCAAAAAGTATTCATAATTGATTGAAGTCAGCTGTTTAAATTCATGAACTAACATTCACAAGTTAGACTCTCCAATATGGTTCAAAACTGCATAGCTTTGCTTCAATTTCCATTCCTACTAAATGGAAATCAAAAAAAAAAAAAAAAGAATAATCAACCACAGACTTCACAGACAGGTAAAGTTATGCTGAATACAGAGCACCTGTCACTGAAGGTTTCTGTAAGGTTACAGGCTACTAAATTTACCCCTATTTCACTGACCACGCAATTAGTGCCAGTTTAAAAATGGAGGTTTTTTTCTCAAAAATTCTTGGGGATGTATATGGGGTGGAATCAGGTTATTTTAGGGCATAGATGGAAAGGAGAGGGTCTGAAAAAAATTATGAAATTGATAATAATGGGAAATTTTGCTTTTAAGTGTGTAGTAGGAAGGGTGTAAAGAGGCCCATGTTTACCCTTTCCTCGAAGGGAAAGTGAAATAAGCAGGGTAGGGGTTATTTGTGGTGCCATAGCTGGACTTGCAGACTATGAATTTTCCTGAGAGCCTGAAAAATTTTTTGGACTTGAATTTTTTTAACTCTGTGCCAAGTTTCAGGTAAGTAGAGCTGGTGTGATCTTTTAAATAAATTTTTACATTATAAAGGAATGTATAGCAAAATAATTGGTAGTCTGTGTCCTTTCACTAGTGAATGTTCTACAACTCTTACCAGCTCTTCTTCTCTGCTTCCCATCATCATGATTTTGGTGGAAGGTTTTAATTTCAAATCAGTTAAGCAGACATCATCCCCTGGAGGCTTCCCTAAAATAAGAAAAACGTTAATGTTACAAGTATCCCAATCAGTATCTCATTATTCCCATTTCATCTGGACAAAATAAAAAAGGGGGAGGGTTAAATTGTGAAATTGTTCAAGTATTTAAATCCCCTGTGTGTATAATAGTATATTTCCCTGGAATGTTCAATCTGAATAACATTATAGTCCTTGTTGATTATACTTGTATCTTGTAAAAAGTACTTGTGAAATATAATTCACTGACAAGCTAATAATCTATTGGAACATTATCAGGTTCCCAGGTCATTCTAACTACAGACAATGAATGATCATGTATCAATAATTGAACATGAAAAATTTATATCAAAGAAACTCTAAACACTTTCTACTGAAGAGTTCTAATTCCATGGTAGTTTTATGCAATTGGAGTTTTCTGCCCTTAGGTGCACAAGATACAATGTGGAGATCAACACAATTTGTAAAAGATTACTCTATATAGGCCTTATAGGTATGCAAGATTTTATTGGTAAAATGGCACATCATGATTATTTTTATTGTGTGATATGTATCGTGATATGAAGGCTTTATTTTGTGCATAATAATAAATTCCAGAATTCTGATAAAGTTCATTTTTTCATTCAGGCCTTTAAATTATTAAACAAGAAGTAGGAAAAATGTTTTAAAACAACTGTATCTCATTCAGCATTGAATTTTTTTTTATTTTTGGTAATGTAACAGCACCCGGCTGTGCTGACAAATTGAATACCCCACTAATCATGCTAATGCTGCATGCATGGACAGCTAGGTGCTGTTATATGACCGACGACATCCAAAAAAAAAAATACAAAAATACAAAAATACAAAAATGAAATAAAAATAAAAAAAAAAGCAAGGTTATGCTTTCATAGCATCATATTCATAAAAAAAATAATAGAGTTTGTTTAAATCGATAAAAACTGCATTTATAACTATGACATCATCATGAAATTTTTGGGGAATCAACATACAAAGTATCTCCCATGGTTTTCATCATGTTCATTGGGTATGATTTTTATCCAACAAGTTGTGTGTTTTCTATCCCCAGGCCTTGGCAAGGGGCTTGAAAACCTAAAACTAAATGAATAAAAATCCTATCCATGCAACCACTAATCATGGGAGATTCTTTTTTATTACCATGATTTGCTTTTATATAAGAACCCACTTTATTCGACTTCATCATTTTCCAAGCAAAAACTGTGTGACATCACAACTGTTGATGTGAAAAATTTATCATATGACTGATATCCACTGTATAAATGAGCAAACTTGATAAATCGTGATAAGAAATTTTTGGTTATACCCATCCCAAATATACTAAAAACTATATTATACTGACGTAAAGTAATTTAAACTCTTTATTTGCCTATTTCTAATGTAAGTAGGCAACAATGATTCTATCTGTTCACTAAGACTTCACTGTCTTTTAAGTTTGAACATTTTCTTGGGGAAATATAAACTGATAAATATCAGAATATGACAGAAACCCTAAATGTTACAAAGAGAACTAGATAAACTAAATATGTACCTTTATACGATATATTTTTTTTCTGTTAGTTTCACTAGTGGTTAGAGCTTCCTTAAAATAAAATTTAAAAAATTGTATAAACTATTTTAAAGGAAATACACATGCCTTTGAATTTTAACCCGAGTAATTTCTGTCTTTCTGGGAGTACACCGGTTGCATCTTGAATTGTTTTCTTTAGGTCTGCCACCGCGCCGTCTTTTTTAACGGTAAGTTTGTACTCTTGACCACTCCATTTTATCACCACAGTGTGGTCTGAGGGCTCATCGGCCATTATTTTTTATAGAACAAAGTCAAAAACAAAAGTTTTCGTTCGCAACAAGAAGTTTTGGTTGGAAAAATTCATTAACTTGTTCATCATTATGTCGGTTAGTCATAGTAGTGGAGTAACTCGTACAGTTACTGAATTTCATACGCTACGTTAGGCTTGAGTTTTTAATAATTTCCATACTAAATTTACCATGCGTTTACAGCGAGAGAAAATAAAAAAAAAGGGGGGGGGGGGGCTTGCTGTCTTACTTTAAGCAAAGTAAACACTTTCTTCTGCGTAAAATAAAGGTTTCAGTACTAACTCAGCCAATGTTTTTTTTTTTTTTTTTTTTTCAAATTAAGCTTGTTTAAACATACTAAAAAAAGAAAACTGATGTTAGTGTTTAAAATTAAATACAATGTATTATTTGGAAAGTGCTAACACAGCCGGGACTTACATGTAAGAATTATGTATTCATTAAAATCCTCATTTTTTTGATAATAGAATTTCTAATAATCCGAAGTTATTTAAAAATTTACTTCAAATAAATCACAATAGAAGCAACATTTTGTCAAATCACTGGAATGACAACATTTCTTGAGATATTTTACCACAAATTTCTCGATAATCCAAGAAATTGTTATATTTGATAAAAACAATAGTTTTTATCGGATCAGCATCAATATTAAAAAAAATATTGTAATTTAAGTGTGACATGAAAATTTAAGTTATATGCGCACAATGAATTATAAAGTCAACATTGATCTTGAATTTTAGAACTGATGTAAATGATGAACTATCTTTTACTAAATTCAATTATGTAATGATCTTTTAGAAAAAAAAAAAAAAGACAACTACACATTTTCTGGTTTAAGAACTGAAATAAATAATGAAATTGGACAAAAATTGATCATTTGCCAGCGATTCAACTATCTGTGGTTTTCAATAAAATGTATAGAGAAAAAATAAAATTATCTTCACTTTTGGCACAGATCTATACAATATCTAAATATTGCTAATATCTTATTTAAAAAATGTAATCTGTATAACTTGATAGATCCCTGATTGTACATAGATTGGAATTGTATGGATTATTGCAATACATGTAAGCCCCCCTCCCCCCAATTTTCGACACCTCAAAAGTATATCCGATCATTTTCTCATGACATTTCAAAACTGAAATACATTACTTATATTTATAAATTCCAACTCCTCATTTACACCGAAATTGACATGTCTGGGTTTATTTTCTCATTTTAGGTGGAAGTAGTGCCACCTGCATGCGCAGCAGTATATCATCCTCGAATCGGTTGTATTTCATTAAGATGGAAACTTGCAATTTTATTGAAAGGATCACGTCTTCTGCAAATACTCATATTTAAAATTACTTTTGGCTGATTTCACGAACTAGAATGCCGCTTAGCCATATCTTTGTTACATGTGTTTTCATGTGACTAAACATGTATTTATAACTCTGATATGTGTATTAGACTTGCCACCTACACGAGTGTAGACCATTGAATGGAATTCCTTCTTACCCATAATAAGATTACTTTTCCCCAAGTTTAAATATAGATTTTAAATGTCTTTGAGGTGACATGCTTTTGTTTAGAAATTAGGTTTGAATTGTAGTGAAAGAAAAACAAAAGGAATTTTAAAAGTGAAGATTATTTAACCCCCTCGCTACTGTTGAAATAAAAACAATCAGCATTAAAACTGAATGAAGCTATAGAAATCAGATAAACCAATCGCCAACAAATTTTCATTTAGCGGCGGATATTCTATAGATCTTCGAAACAAAAATATGAATTTTCTGTATATACCACAATATATTTTCAATTTTCAATATTTCGATTCAATTAAAATCTGTAATTAATTTGATTGGGCGTTTCAATAATTACAAGTGTATATAAATTCATTATACAACATTTTAAAGCATTAGAAATAATTATGTTTCAAGTGTTATCCAGAGAACTGATTTTAGGTATGTAAATGAGTTGACTCTTAATCATAAGTCTTAATAAGTTTGTCTTAATAAGACAAACTCAGAGAGTTTTCCCCTTTATTCTTTCATCAAGGACATTTCAAATCGACATCCTTAGCAAATTAGAACAGCTCTTAACCTTTCTCATTTCATAGTAGAATTGAATGTTTAATTTTATTAATTAATGTTTTTCAATATGCAATGCAGAAAAAAATCTATTAAGAATTTATTTCTTGCAACTAGTATTTAACCTACCGATGACATATTTTATAAGGTTAGGCATACACGATTTTGAGGTAAGGATTTTTCAATTATACTAGTACATGTGAAAAAAAAAAATGTTTTTTCTCTGTTGCCCATGCATTCATGAACTCTTGAAAACAACATAACTGAAAGTTCGCCACAGAAATACGAACGAATTACTGAGTATATATGCATAAAATAGAAACAATGTCTAAGATTAGATCTGTTTAGGGCTTCAGCACCATCAACCACACTAAATATGGTCCTACATGTATATGTAATAGGTACATGTATTTTGATAACATTTTCTTGCATTAAGTTGGAACACTTAGATTTTTATCGAGATAAATTTCTGTGGAATATACTTCAAGTTTCCATTTTTCTGAACTGAAGGCCAAACTCATGATACAGCAAGATTTAACTTTCTCCTTTCTTTTTAAAGGTGTGTTGATGTGCTTGCCAGTCTTTTCTGAGGCTGCGTGTGCAAATTACCAACTTTGCAAGAAAACTCGATTTCCATGGAAACGTCATGTGGTAAACTATGAAAGACCATGCAGTGGTGAACAAATCATAAATACTACTGTCTCTCCGATCCTAGAGGGAGAAAACTTTGTCCAATTAAAGAATAATTACTTAGCAAGTCTGCGTGAACTGTCCTGGCAGATTCAGAATTTAACAATATCCGTTGTAAGTACTTTGTGCTATAAGTAATCTTTGTACATACATGCACGAAGGGAAGCTAAGAAAAAATAATTGTATACCAAAGAAAAAAAAATCCACCTATTGGATTAAGAAATAAATATATGTGTGTTACATTTATGTCTTCAACCTTTATACATATATGTATTTTGAAACGCTCTTCCCAGGTTAATAGAATGCCTACGTACACCACAGCCAGCAGATCCACTGTAGTAGTAAAAGAGGGGAAGAGGTGTAGATCGGTAAATACTTACCTCCTTATTTTTAGTTTCATATTATAATTTTTATTTGTTTACCGCAACTCTACATGCTATGTTTCAGAGCTCTGTTATACTTAAATCCTTCGAAGAACTGACGGAAATTGGTCTTCAAATGAACATTATACACCAACATTTCTCCGTCGTAATGGCATTTCAGTGGAATGAGCGCCACCTGTTGGAAACCCTGTGCAATTTGAGGAAGATTTATTATAGACACGGTGGATCCGAGGACTTTTCGAACATTACTTTGAATGCTGTTACCAAATACTCACTGTGTATCAAACACAAAGCGAACTGTGCCAATTTCTATACTTGGTTATCCGAGAAACTCCAAAATCTTAATAACAAAATGGATCGTGTTTTTAAGTTATCTCGTAGATTCGTACTCCAAGGACAGTATTACATTTCATAGAGTACGATATAGAGGACATACATGTATAGACAGGAACGACTTCATTTCTGATGTGATACCCGGTATTATACAAATCCTACTTGAAAAATATAGCAAAAACTTATTTGTTCAACCAAGGCAATAAAATATGCATCCACTTATTTAGTTATATTTTTTAGATGTATTTATATACTGTTGTTTAGCATTCTGGATGTGATATGCAAGCATAGTTACATCAATGACAACTCATTGTGCCTTTGCGGCAAGATCAATTAAGCTACCATTTCAGTACCGTAGCAATAAAATCGCACGTAGGAAGGAATTTTATTGAAAGGATGGAGGGTGCAAAACCTAATAAAATTCCTTGAATAAATCAGAAAAAAAAAGCGCCCGATGCCATTGGGCCTATTCACTGGTTTACTCCACTTTTTCCAACTTTTAAAAAATCAGGTAGGAAAAGGTGTGGGAATAGGTGGAATACTTATGTAAACCAATTATTAAAACTGTATAACATATAATTACTGTAAAAACAGTGAACAGTGATTAATTAATTTAAAAAGCAGAAATTTAAGTGAATTAAATCAACTTTTTTCTTAAATCTATTTATATTATTTTCTAAAATTCTTAAATCTATCTAAATTATTTTCTATACTAAGGTGTACCTATTCAAAAAGCCCTTAAGTTCTTTCGAATGGACATCGGCAGCGAAATTTACAGTATATTATTCAATGTTGCTTGAATTTTCTGTAACGCATGTATATATCTTAACGACAAAACGACACAAATACAGCATATTATTACATTTTCAACAGTGAAATACTGTGATTTATTTCATTTTCAACAGTGAAATACTGTGATTTATTTATTGAATAAAAGTAATATTCTCTCACAGTGTGAAAGGATATCAAAGTAAGTAAAAAATAATTTCTGGCCTGTCATAAGATAGAGATAGTAACTAAGCATCTTGATAGAGCTAAATTTCTTCCCAAATATGTTGCTAAAATCCATGCTATGTAATGTTTTCAATCACACAACTGCTAAGCTATGACGATTCAACCGCTCAACTATGACGTCAAGCCTACATGTATATGACACTGTGTTAAGAAAAGACAGAGGCAAAGGGAAAATCAAAGAAAATGTAATAAACAGAAAATTCAACGTTTTTTTTAGATGAATATGGAATTTATTTCACTCGTGAGACAGGATTTTTTGATATTTTCACTCGTGCTTCGCACTCGTGAAAATATCAAAAAATCCTGTCCCACTCGTGAAATAAATTCCATATTCATCTACAAAACATTGAATATCCTCTATTTATTCATTGAATAAAAGCAATATTCTCTCACAGTGTGAAAGGATACTAAAGTGATATTCTCTCACAGTGCGAAAGGATATCAAAGTAAGTAAAATATAATTTCTGGCCTGTAATATAAGATTGAGATAGTAACTATAAACCATCTTGACAGGGACTAAACT